ACCACCTCCTCCACCGCCACCACCTCCCACAACTTGACCGCCACCTTGAGAGGCAGCACCAAGCGCCGTTTGGAGGTCTACTCCTCCAGGAAGAGTTGGGTTCTCTCCTTCTGCGTAGTTCACGAAGAACACTTCGGGATCCGCTGGTGGTGGCGCTGGCACCTCGATCACTTGTTGACCTTGTTCCGACTGCTTGTTAAGGACGAACAAAACGTGTTGTTGCCTCGGAGGAGGAACGACGATGGGTTCTGGTCCTTGAGCACCATCAGGAAGTCTGACGAAAACAATATTCCGTTCAAGTTTAGGTTTTGGAACGTTCGCTGGCCGACTGGAAGAAGCTTGATTTGGTGGCACATCATACAAGAACACACGACTGTTCACTTGAGGTGTGACACAGCTTCCATCCACGTGTCGCACTTGTCCACCGCCACAACCGCCGGCGTTAAAGGATGGCCCAGAGGGAGTGGGTAGGTTGTACCCCTGTGGGGCAGCAGATGCGGCAGCCACCAATGCCAAGATCTTTGAGAGAAAAAAAAGTGTTTTTGGTTTGTTTGTTTCATATACCCTTCAACAATATACTGAAAAACTTCATATGTAAAAACATACTTCGTGACAGCAAGAAGTTTACATAACTAACCAGGAGCTTCATGTTGGCAGTCTGTGACTTCCGATCAAGTGACGCCATATATATATACTGACTGGTATTGCTCCTCCTACATAATGTCTTTCCTTTCTCCTTAAATGCACAAATCATTGTTGAAATTCTAACATGAATACAGAAGTGCTGGCAATCTATTGGTCGTTTCTCACGGAGATTGCTGTAAAATATACACTCATTCCTATGTATATATGTATATATATATATATATATATATATATGCACATACACACACACACATATACACATACGCACACACACACGCACACATACACACGCACACGTATATATATGTGTGTGTGTGTATTTGTATATATATGTATACTCATTTATTTATTCATATTTATACATATATATACATTTATGCATACACATACACACACACAAATATATAAGTATATATATACATATTAATTTATACACACACACACGTATATATATATATATATATATATATATATATATATATGTGTGTGTGTGTGTGTGTGTGTGTGTGTGTGTACGCACATATGTGTGTGCACATGCATACACATATGTGCGTGTATATATATATATATATAATATCTATATATATATGTATATATGTATACATATATGTGTGTGTGCGTATATGCATACCTATACATGTGTACACACACACACACACACATATATATATAATATATGTGTATGTATGTATGCATATATATGTATGTATATATATATATATATATAATATGTATATATATATAATATTATATATATATACACACACACACACATATATGTATATTTGTCTATTTATCTCTATATGTACGTATATATACATATATGTATATATATACATTATATATATATATAGATATAATATATATATATATCATATATATATATATACATATATGTATATATATACATTATATATATATATACACACACACACACACACACCACATATATATATATAGATATAGATATATATATAGATATAGATATAGATATAGAGGATCCGCTGGTGGTGGCGCTGGCACCTCGATCACTTGTTGACCTTGTTCCGACTGCTTGTTAAGGACGAACAAAACGTGTTGTTGCCTCGGAGGAGGAACGACGATGGGTTCTGGTCCTTGAGCACCATCAGGAAGTCTGACGAAAACAATATTCCGTTCAAGTTTAGGTTTTGGAACGTTCGCTGGCCGACTGGAAGAAGCTTGATTTGGTGGCACATCATACAAGAACACACGACTGTTCACTTGAGGTGTGACACAGCTTCCATCCACGTGTCGCACTTGTCCACCGCCACAACCGCCGGCGTTAAAGGATGGCCCAGAGGGAGTGGGTAGGTTGTACCCCTGTGGGGCAGCAGATGCGGCAGCCACCAATGCCAAGATCTTTGAGAGAAAAAAAAGTGTTTTTGGTTTGTTTGTTTCATATACCCTTCAACAATATACTGAAAAACTTCATATGTAAAAACATACTTCGTGACAGCAAGAAGTTTACATAACTAACCAGGAGCTTCATGTTGGCAGTCTGTGACTTCCGATCAAGTGACGCCATATATATATACTGACTGGTATTGCTCCTCCTACATAATGTCTTTCCTTTCTCCTTAAATGCACAAATCATTGTTGAAATTCTAACATGAATACAGAAGTGCTGGCAATCTATTGGTCGTTTCTCACGGAGATTGCTGTAAAATATACACTCATTCCTATGTATATATGTATATATATATATGCACATACACACACACACATATACACATACGCACACACACACGCACACATACACACGCACACGTATATATATGTGTGTGTGTGTATTTGTATATATATGTATACTCATTTATTTATTCATATTTATACATATATATACATTTATGCATACACATACACACACACAAATATATAAGTATATATATACATATTAATTTATACACACACACACGTATATATATATATATATATATATATATATATATATATGTGTGTGTGTGTGTGTGTGTGTGTGTGTGTGTACGCACATATGTGTGTGCACATGCATACACATATGTGCGTGTATATATATATATATATATATATATATATATATATGTATATATGTATACATATATGTGTGTGTGCGTATATGCATACCTATACATGTGTACACACACACACACACACATATATATATAATATATGTGTATGTATGTATGCATATATATGTATGTATATATATACATATATATATAATATGTATGATATATAATTCATATATATTTACTCACACACACACACATATATGTATATTTGTCTATTTATCTCTATATGTACGTATATATACATATATGGACATATTTACATAATGAAAATATATAAGAAATATGTGATATTAAATTATCAACAGAGTAAATAAAACATGCGATATTAAACATTTATTTCATTACCTCCAGCAACCGGCAATCCAGCAATCTTCAGAAAAGATTTTAAAAGTTTCGATGTAAATTTGATTTGGAAAGATCATTATGATACGACACATTCGTACAATGATTAGATATTTGCCGCTATTTTGTCCCTCTTTATCACAAGATCATCATGATGAACATTGGGTATGCAGGTATATAGGATAAAATATATTATATAAATGAGATATATCATATAAATGTATTTGTTAAAAGAATTATTTTCATATTCCCATCTTACCCGAGGATATATAAGAAAAAAGATAAAAAACGGCATGGTGTCATCCCCCCCCCCCCCCGATATAATATGCGTATAAATAAATAAAAAATATGCGACTGTATTACTGTGCTGAAGAAAACCGTGTGAGGGTTTTGGCATTTTCACAAAATCCTTGAAACCATTTTGCGAGAAAGGGAAGCTAACAACGTTGCAAGGAATGGCAGGATACCTACATAAGTGATATTCAACAAATCACTAAAATAACGTATGCGAAATCAATTGTAACTGCAATTGTGTAAATGAAATGTTACCTCAACCAGTTTAAGAGCGGCAAACGCACCATTCACCTACTTTACAACTGGTTTCCTGACCGTGACAGCCTCTTCATGGAACATCTTCCCTTCCATTAGAAGAATGGGAATGATTTGCATTATGGTTGTAGATATGATACACTACATGGACAACAAATACGCCGATTACCTTGTTTGTGATTGGTTTTCTGTTCTTGATTGCTCCCTCATGGAACATCCTACCATGGGAATGACGTCGTTTTGGGGATCTGTCGTTTATGATATTGCTACTGATTAGTAAAGCATTTCCAACGAAGGAAATATATTCTGTGTGACGATTCATAAATCTAATGAACAGTACAGTAATAAGAATACTGCTACGGAGAAAACCTACAGGTGAAGTAACTCGAGATATGAGTCTTATGCGTCTAGAGTTAATTTATATATTGAGAAAGCGTGCAGAAATCAATAATAATGAAGAGGATGATGAATGAATGCAGTTGTTACGATGCTCGCCATAGTGAATTAGATCTTTCAGGAGATACTTCTGTTAAAGCACCGTTTTCTATTTCCTGTTATCTGTATAAAAAAATAACTGCTGCGACTTATATCAGCTGCAACTCGTGCGCAGAATCTCATTCTACTGCTATTGTGTGGTTTTTATATTTTGTTTCTGCCTGGGAACCTATTTTTCTCTTACCCGTATCTGAAGTAAGTAGAAAACCAGACATCAAATATGTATATATCATATACAGAGGATACTGACGTATTCCTAACACACGTATACTTTCAAACTGACACCTCCATTCACAACCCGGAGACGCAACATCCAGCCCCTTGTCGAGGTCTGCTATACTGGGAACACTTAGGTACTCTGTTGCGTAGATCGCGGGCGGTGGGGTTGGCGGTGGGGGGTGCTGAAACTTCGATCCCACGCTTGCCCTGTTCTCTATTAAGGAGCTGTGCTTATTAAGCCCGAACAAGACATGCCAAGGAATGTGCAGTGGCCGACTTGAAGAACTTAGATTTGGAGCCGCATGTTACAAAGGCACACGAATGTTTGCTCAAGAATGTGACGCATCTGACATCCACACTCCTTCTCTGACATGACCACCGGAACTAAAATGACCAGGTGTGGGTAAGTTGTAAGTTGTATATATACGGGTTAGCGGACAAAGTAACCACGAGTATTGAAAGCTTTGGGGAAATAAAGTAGCTATGAAGCTTTTAGCTGATACTCCTTGAATGAATGTAAAATCCCCACGAAAGCAAAAAAAATCATACTCGTACTTGAAACAAGTTCACATGTCAGTAATTTGTAAATCATACTGGAAGGATAAAGAAGAATCTTCATATAACATACATATTTATGTAATTGTATATAAATAATAACATTAAACTGGTTACTTTAGAAACATAACCCGAAGCTGGTAATATACTTATGGTGAACTGTAAAGTGTGGAAGGTGCAGGTGGACTATAGCTTCCACCGCCGGTGCCCCCTCCACTTCCTCCTCCAAAGCCACCTCCACTTCCTCCTCCAAAACCACCTCCACTTCCTCCTCCAAAGCCACCTCCACTTCCTCCTCCAAAACCACCTCCAATGCCGCCTCCAATCCCGCCGCCAATGCCGCCTCCAATCCCGCCGCCAATGCCGCCTCCAATCCCGCCGCCAAAGCCACCTCCAATTCCGCCTCCGATACCACCACCAAATCCTCCTCCACCGCCACCACCTCCCACAACTTGACCGCTACCCTGAGAGGCAGCACTCAGCGCCGTTTGGAGGTCTACTCCACCAGGAAGAGTTGGGTTTTCTCCTTCTGCGTAGTTCACGAAGAACACCTCGGGGTTGGACGGTGGTGGTGCTGGAACCTCGATTACTTGCTGACCTTGTGCCGACTGCTTGTTAAGCACGAATAAGACGTGCTGTTGCCTCGGAGGAGGAACGACGATGGGTTCGGGTCCTTGGGCACCATCAGGAAGTCTCACAAAAACAATATTTCGCTCCAGCTTAGGCTTGGGAATGTATGGTGCTTGACTGGAAGAAGCCTGATTTGGTGGCACATCATACAGGAATACACGACTGTTCACTTGAGGTGTGACGCAGCTGCCATCCACGTGTCGCACTTGTCCACCCCCACAACCCCCGGCGTTAAAGGATGGGCCAGAAGGAGTGGGTAGATTGTACCCCTGTGGGGCAGCAGATGCGACAGCCACCAGTACTAAAACCTTCGGAAAAAGGAATGTCTGTGAATAGATTTTTTTTTTTTTTTTAAATATACAGTGCATTGAAAGATATTCACACGTAAGGAGACCGTACGAACACCGTGACAGCACGAAGTTTGTATTACTCACCAGAAGCTTCATGTCGAATGTCGATGTCTTTCGAGCAAGTGGTGTCATATATATACTGACTGGAATTGCTCCTCCTACAAGTTACGTCTTTCCTTTCTCCCTTAATGTACAACTCATGGTTGAAATCCGACCATCAGTAAGAACTGTTGGGATATACCTTTGGCCATTTCTCACGGGAAATACTTCAAAATTGGAAAATGATGTATCAGTATCAAATTATTTATAAATAGACAGGCAGACGGACACACACACACACACGCATAAACACAAATATATATGTATATATGTGTGTGTCTATTCATACGCTCATATAAATGTGAATACATACATGCTTACGCATATCTGTATATATATGATATACATACAATAATCATATATATATGTATATATATATATATATATATATATATATATATATATATATATGTTTATTCTTAATATATGTATATAATATCACACACACACACTTATATATACACCTGTGTATGTGTGTGTGTGTACACACACAGATATATGTATATATATATTCCTACACATACACATGATGTAATAAGTGTATTTCCATATACATATACACACACATATGTCTTTAAACAAAAATACACACAGGCACACACAATTGCATCTAGCTATCCCTATTTTTGTCTATATGTCCCTATTTTTGTCTATATGTCTGTCATTTTATATATTGATATATCTACCCATTTATCTATCTATCCACCCATCTATGTTCCTCAATGAGTTTTGCGTTGACTGGGTTGGCGAAAAGGATTTTCCACAATATCGTCTTATTGATGTGATTTACATACGAATGCAATTGTAACATCAGAAGAAAAAGACGTAATGATTAATATTATCAGTGGTGACGGTGGTCATTGTAGTTGGAAATATATATATTACTATCATCGGGCTCCATTTATCAAACACATGTGTCTAATAATACATTCGCGTTGTAAAAGATTTATGACACTATGCTTTTGCGTAAAATCTTTCCGACAGCTTCCTGTCTTGAAGAAGAAAATAGATAGATTCAGAAGTTTATAAAGTAGATTTCATGATCGTCTTTTTTCCCTTCAAAAGCATTTCTGTCTCTGTATGACCAATCGCGGAAAAAAAATGAAAAGAAAGATGATAACGTGGTAAAAAAAATCTTGTGAATGGTTGACAACGGTGTACGAATCGTTAATACTTAGCCTTAATATCAGTCATTGTATGCAAAAATCTTTATTACAGCTTCATACACTCGTGGAGTATGAGAGTAATTTGCATTGTAATTATAGCAGGTACGAATCATTACATGGACAACAAGCGCATCATTCTCCGATTTTGCGACTGGTTTCCCAGCCATGACTGTCTATTCATGGAGTATCTTATCATTGCGACTGGTTTCCCAGTCATGACTGTCTATTCATGGAGTATCTTATCATAAACCACTGACACACACACACACACACACACACACACACACACACACACACACATATATATATATATATATATATATATAGCACACAGACACACACACACACACACACACACACCAACACCCACACCCACACAAACACATACACACAAACACACACACACACCAACAGACCAACACCCACACACACACAAACACATACACACAGACACACACACACACACGCAAACACACATACACACACACACACACAAACACACATACACACTCGAAACGCATACGAACACGGGTACACACACGTATATATATGTGTGTGTGTGTACACACACAGATATATGTATATATATGTATATATTTATATATACATATATGTATATATATATATATAGATATATATAATATATGTGTATGTATGTATGCATATATATGTATGTATATATATACATTATATATATATATGTTTATTCTTAATATATGTATATAAATATATATATATATGTTTATTCTTAATATATGTATATATATACATTATATACATACATACATACATACATACATACATACATACATATATATTAATGTATATATACATAAATGTATATGTATGTATATATATATATATTAGATATATATATATATTATATATACATATATATACCTATACATATACATACATACATATATATTATGTATATGTGTTTATATGTAAACACACACACATATATATGTATATACAAACATATACATTTATATATACATATATATACATATATATACATATATGTATGTATATATATGTATATATATACACACACATATATGTGTATTGATATATATATATATATATATATATATATATATATACATATATGTATATATATATGTATATATATGTGTGTGTGTGTGTGTGTGTGTGTGTGTATGCGTGTGTATGTATATATATATGTATATATATACATATATACATAAAGCTATATATATATGTATATAAATATATATATATATATGTGTATATATATACATATATATAAATATATATATATATATATATATATATATATATATATATATATATATATATATGTATATATACACGTATGTATTTATTCATGCACACATACATTATATACATACATACATTTTTTTTCTGTTTTGAGTGATGTAAATAATATTGTTACCTTTTCTTTCTGTTTTAAAATAGTATCCCCGGATAGATACTAAAGGGGACAACCCTTACATATATACACACACACATATATATGCACATATGTCTGCACACACACACATATATATACACATATGTATGCACACACACACACACACACACACACACACACACACACACACACACACACACACACAAACAACCACACACACATACGCACTCACACCTACAAAGACAAGTATATACCTATATCTATATACACATTTATTCATGTAAATGTATATGTATAGATATTTTTTTCTTTTCAGGGAACAATCAAAATGAAAATGAGTACATGAATGATTTAACAGATGATAAAATCAGCGTTTTTTTAAACATATTTTATCAAATTGTGAAAAATGACAATTGTCAAGCATTCATTTCTTGTATGGATTAATGTCTTACACACACACACACACACACACAAACACACACACACGCGCGCGCGCGCACACACAGTCATACTGTGTGTCTCTATACAGTAATATATCATTATCATTATTGTTAAAATTATCATTATTCCTTTGGTCATATTATTATTAGTATCATCCTTTTATACATACATACATACATACATACATATATATATATATACATATATATATATACATAAATGTATATGTATGTATATATATGTATATATTTATATATACATATATATACCTACACAAACACATATATGCACAGACACGTATATATATATATATATATATATATATATATATATATATATATATACATATATTATCTATGCATATGATTTTTTTTTCAGGAAATAATCAAAATGATAATAAAATCAGCGTTCTTTTTTGTTAAACAGATCTTTATTAAACTGTGAAAAATAACGTAATTGTCAAGCATCCGTTTTTTTATTTTATTTTTATTTCTATTATTTTATGTTAGGGGTTAATGTCGTCTGAGGTAGAAATCAATATGTCTGTTATGGGGTTCCGTAGAGGCTAGAAGGCGCTGGGGGACTGTATTTGCCGCCTCCACTTCCACCTCCACTTCCACCACCAATCCCCCCTCCTATACCACCTCCTATACCACCTCCGATACCGCCTCCGATTCCACCTCCGATACCGCCTCCGATACCACCGCCGATACCGCCTCCAATACCACCTCCGAAACCACCTCCTCCTCCACCACCACCGCCCACAACTTGACCGCTGCCTTGAGAAGCAGAATTCAATGCCGTTTGGAGGTCTACCCCAATAGGAAGACTTGGGTTCTCTCCTTCCGCGTAGTTGACGAAGAACACTTCAGGATTCGATGCCGGCGGCGCGGGCAGCTCGATCACCTGCTGGTTTTGTTCCGACTGCTTATTAAGAACGAAAACTACGTGTTGCTGCTGCGGAGGAGGTACGACTATGGGATCGGGTCCTTGAGCGCCTTCAGGAAGTCTCACGAAAATGACATTGCGTTCCAGTTTAGGTTTGGGGACGTATTTTGGTCGGCTGGAAGGACCTTGATTCAGTGGCACTTCGTACAGAAACACACGGCTGTGCACTTCAGGCGTGACGCATCTACCGTCTGCATGTCGCACCTGCCCGCTGCCACAGCCTCCAGCTTTAAACGATGGTCCTGAAGGCTTGGGTACTTTATAGCCCTGCGGAACAGCTGACGCAACAGCCGCAAGCGCAAAAATCTATGGAAAAGAAGATTTTCTCTCTAGATTATTTTATTCACTAGTATCATTATATCACACGTAGTAGTAAATTTTGATATATCATAAATCATCCCTTAGCCGTAAACTGCATCATATTACATAACACGTAGCAATAAATCATATCACATCATATCACACGTAGTAATAAATCACATAATATTATCTTACAAATATATCACACGTAGCAATATATCATATCATATCGAAGGGAACACTAAACTAAATCATGATTAATCACACAACTACGTAGCTACGTAGCTAACACAACACAGCAAAAACCTACGATCGACGCTACTCACCAAAATCTTCATCCTGAGTCTGTATGGCTAGTGCCACGTCTTCACACCGCTTATATATCGACAACCATTGCTCCTCCTACAAATGAGAGGTTCTTTCCTTTCTACCGTATGCATAAATCTCAGTTCTTGTGCATGGTTAGGCAAAGAAAAGCTACCCCGAAGACGATGACGGTGCGAGATGAGTCGATAGATCGCTTCCTGATCATCGTTATGCAATGTTCATAGGGGGAACTGTACTGTTATTTAAATCATTTTTGAAAAATAAATGTGTAACATTAGACGAAATCGATTCATATACTTTTAAGGGTATCGACTTGAATTCATATATATTACGTAAATAGATATGCAAGTATTTTATAATAGCATACGCAATCATGCATTCATATGCACAAACTATACATATACACTCACACACAT